CAAGAAGTAACTGAAACTGCTCACACCGTGGTTGGCTGGTTGGTTGGTTAAAAAAAATTAATTAGCTGCCAAGATCTGAAAATCTAGGCTGCAGGTGCAAATCAAATGTTCAGTTTCCTTGAACAACCAGAGGACCCGCAGCCCTGGCCCGTGTGTCTGGGTGGCTCAGGCGAGGGGCTGCGGCCAGACCCCCGCCCTCCGGGTCACCCCGACCTGTTCCCGTCCACGAAGCCAGCTGCCTGGCCCCAGTCTCCCTGGTCTCATGTCCCGCCTTGGCCTGATCACGTGGGCACTTACACGCCCCGCCCCCAGCAGGAGACACCGTGTCCAGCCCCGTTCCATCCCCAGCCGTCACGCACAATGTGTCCCCTCCACCTGGGATGGCCTCTCGCTTTGTCTCTGTGACAGCTACGCGTCCCTCAAACTCGGCTCAATTCAAACCTCCAGGGGCCTCCCCTGACTTCTGGGGCTGGGTAGGGTGCCACCTCTGGGCCCCCAGGGCACCTGTGTCTACCCCCTGACCCTGTCACATAGGGCCTGTGACCCCTCCCTCCCTAGCACTCCAGGTAGGGAGGGCCTGGTACACAGGGCACATCTGACTAGATGTGACCAGATGAGCGGCTGGGAAGGCGACTGTGCCCCCATTTCACAGGTGATGAAACTGAGGCCCCGACCAGGGCTCAGTCCACTGCCTCTCGAAGACCAGTAGCCGCTAACACAAGAACCACGATCTCAATTCTCTGTGGGTCTTCAGACCCTGCCGTGTGTTGAATCGTGTCTCCCCAAGAGATGTACAGAAGTCCTAAGTCCTGGTACCTGTGAATGTGACCTCTGGAAAGGGGACCTCTGCAGGTGTAATCACGTTAGGATGAGGTCATGAGGGTGGGCCCCAGGACATCCAGGGCGGGTGTCCTGATGCGGAGAGACACAGAGACAAGGGAGGATGGAGGCCAAGGTCGCAGCGAGGCACCTACAAGCCAGGGAGACCGAGGACTGCCTGCCCGCCGCCGGCAACGCCACGGTGCTGGGAGGGAGGTGCGGACTACCCTCTGCCTGCGGCCGTCTGACTCGCCACGGCGCTGCCGACCCCCGGTTTCCACGTCCCGTCTGCAGACCTGGAAGAGACTACGTTTCCGCTGTTTGAGGCCACTCAGTGGGGCTTTTTGCTTCGGCAGCCCTAAGAAATGAGCACCGGCCTCTCCGATGACTTATTTTTAAAATGTACATAATCAGAGGGTCCGTGAGCCTCTGAAGCTGATGCAGAGCGAGGGGCCCCCCCTCCCAGATCTTCTGCCTTGCGGCCGAGCCTCCCCGATCCCCGTTTCCTCCCCGTCTGTGCTGAGGGAACCGTAAAGACACCAGCTCCAGGCTCCAGGTTCCCCACCTGTGGCAGGTGTGCTCTGGAGGGAGAAAGAACCTTGACTTTGGAGCGAGTTCCCAGGTTATATGATTCTGGATCTCTCTGTGTGAAGTTGCTGAATCCCAGGCTGGGGTGACTTCCAGGGGCCACGTGACTTTGATGACCTAAAAGGGACCGAAGGGCCAAGGATCTGCTCCACCCCGAGAAGGGGAGGGAGGGGGGCACCCCTGCAGTGGGATTTAAGCCCTGGGACTCACCCTTGACCGCCCCCTGCAATCCACTGGGGGATGGAAAGGAAACCCTGACCTCCGCCCCCGCCCCTGACTCCCAGGGCAGGGCCTGGGGTGGGGGTGGGGCCGGGCGGCAGGACGGCTAGGAGCTCCCAGGTGTTTCCAATGGCGGCACTGTCTAGGGACGCCACGGTTTGTTTGGGCTGGTGACTGAAGGGACCGTGCGGGACCAAACTAGACGGAGCTCATGCTGTGGGTGAGCTTGTGTTACCGGGGGTCGAGGGGAGGGGTTACAACTTAGGGACACGGGGACAGGCACTCCTTGTCCCTGGGGTTCGTCCCCTGTGCTGGCCCAGCACACAGTAGGCGCCTTCCCTGTTCGTCCCCTTCCTGCAGCATGGAGGCCCCGGAGCCTCTGCATCTCTGCAGGGGGAGGGCGTCCTTAGAGCAGGAGCCACACACCCTTCACAGCACTCCCAGGGGAAGAGGCTTGGGTTTGGGGCCCCCACGGAAGGTGCTGCTTTCTTTGGTCTATTCATCCACCTGTCGAGCAGAAGTCGCTCCTGACCCCACCCACCCCCCCCCCTCGTCGGTCCTCCCCCCGGGGCTGGGGTTTTTTCCCCAAGCCACTGCTTGGCGACAAACCCGTCCCTGCTCAGGGACCTGCAGCGGCGCCCGCTGCCCACTGACTGAGTGACTGTCTCCTTTTAGCTGGCAGCGCCTTCGGTCACCTGGCCCTGGCTGCCCTCCGCCAGCTCTCCTGGGGCCCTGCCCTCCTGCTCCCCGGGGACTCTGGGACCGTGTTCGGGGCCTCGCTCCTTCGCGCCTCTGCCTAGCACGCCCCCGTCGCCAGGCCTGCAGGGGAAACCTGCCTGGTCCGATCCACCAGCGTGTCCGTCCTCGGGGTCCCAACGAGGGCGGGTGCTCGGGAGGGGAGCACCCGACACCGAATTCGCTGTTTCCTGGGAACGCCCTTCCCTGCACACGCCTCTGGTCTGGCCCTCGCCCAGTCACCTAACGGACAGACACCTGTGGAGGACCTACTACGTGCCAGCCTCCTCGGTCACCCTCGCTGGAGATGGCTTGGCTCGTCCCTTCCCCCGTAGCCCGGGAGCAGCCAGCGAGGAAGTCCACGTCCCGTTCGACTCTGTGCGCCAGCGTCCCCGTCCCCTTGTCCGACACAGAGTGTGGCCCACAGCAGGCACTCGACAGGTGCTGAACAGGTGGGTGGCGGCAACACTGCCATTTCTCTGTCAAACCGCCCACTGCTGCCGCGTGGGGACAGTCACCCACACCCGGCGGCCACTGCACTCTCAGAGCGTGTGCGGAGCCCCCACGCTGGCCGAGTGCTGTTGACGCTTCAGACAAAGGAGTAGAAGCCCCAGCCGCGTGGGGCAGGGAGACCCCGGGACGCCACCCGCCGGAGCGCGGCGCACCCCGGCCAGACCGTTTCCCGGGGGAGAGGAGGAGACGAGTCGTCTTTCAATACCTGCCCTGCCCTGGGGGGGAGGGTACTGTGTCTTCGGGGGGGTACTGTGTCTTCGGGGTGGAGCAGCGAGGTGGGAAGCCGGGTCCGAGCACCACAGGTGCGCAGGCCCAGGTTGGAAACCCAGCCCTTCCCCTTCCCCTCCCCCACGGCGCGTCCTGGGAGAATGACCGAACCGGGCGGCTGTAAGACGGGGGACAGCAGCACCCAGGCCGCCGACCTGCAAGGACTCACTGTGCGAAAGGGCGCGCGTGCCCGGCGTCCGGCACACAGCAGGTGCTCAGAGACACCCTTAGTGTCTCTCCCCATTGGGTGTCACCTCGTGTCTCCGCTCCTTTCTGGACTGAGCAGGTAATGAATGCCCAAACCTCTGTCCATGGGAGTAAAACGACCACACGAGACTTCAATGATAAACCAAAAAGAAAAAAAAAGATCTCCACGCAGTTTCAGCCTATAGGTGCTAAAAAGCCCTATGTTTATGTTGCCCTGTCACCATAGCAACTCATGCTGCTCCAGCCAGCCCCAGGGTTAGCAGAGATCAATTTATCTTTCAACCGCAGAAACGCCAGCTGTTTGTTCGGTGGGATTCGGTGGGGAAGCACAGACACGGTGCGAGCGCCTGTCCCCTCCAGAAATGAACCCGCTGAACCCACCTCGGTTTCCATGCAGCCAAGTCCCCACCGTGCAAACTGACGCCCACGTGACAATGCTTTGAGCGTGGGGTTAGAAGGAGGAGACAGAAAAATTCGGCACAGACAGCCAGCGTTGCTCACGGGAGCAGGTAGCACGATGGAAAACCCGTCAAGGGGCAGCCAGGGAGTGCATGGGGGGTCCCTGGGGTCAGTTTGGGGGACCCTGCGCCCTTTCATGCCTGCATCTGGGGACTCGCTGTCCCTACAGCCTAGGTTTTGCCGTTACTTTTTGAACAGGCTTCCACCGCCGTGAAGTTCGGGGGGAAAAGGAAACCGTGTCTTCAAACTCCGCTCCCTGGACAATGAAACGGCAGCAGGTGGGCCCTGCCACACACCCAGGGGGCAGAGGAAACCTCGGGGCCCTTCCCGAGTCTGGGCTCCCAACACAACCAGCCTCACAGAAGCTGCAGGACCCACTCTCCCGGAGCAAACACGGCCCTGCCCCGGAGTCGGACTGGGTGCCGGGAAAGGCCACAGACAGCTGGGGAGAGCGGGTGTGTGTGCCTTTGTTCCGGTTCAAGAGAGTTGCCACACAGACACAGCAAGATCGCCCAACCTCAGACCTCGGGGTGGGGGTGGGGGGGTTCCTGAGGACCAAGCGATGAGAAGGCATCTGTTTTCCCCGCCGCTGGGAACCTGTTTTGCATCAAGGGAAGAGTTATGGTCCCCAGCGCGGATGGCCGCAGACTCAGCACAAAGCAGAACAGGGTAAAACAAATGATCTCTGCCCGGCGCTTGGCAGGTCACACAGCAGCCACCTTGCTCCGGTTCCGGTCTCGCTTCAAGAGGAGAGAGTGAAGTGGGGAGCAAGTGGCGGACTACCAGGTGCCTCCGGAGGATAGAGGTTGCCCGCCCATCCAGATGCACACACCTGGGCTGCCCGGGCTTGGGGTATCCGAGGGGGCCAGCAGGTGGTGTTGGGGGCGGGGAGAGGAGGGACTGGGCGCCTCCCATTGCCCAGGCCCCTCGCAGCCCGGGAAGGAGTGAACCCAATGAGCTCTGAGCGCAAGGCCCGCCCCACCACCGGGGAGCCGAGCTCGCCATCCCGGACGCGCGCACCAGGTGGGGATCCCCCAGCTCTGGACAAAGGACAGGGACGTGGATCCCCCGCTGGTGCCACAGCCCGGCCCGAACCCTCCCGTGCACCCAGCACCAGTGCGGAGGGCGAGACCGTAGCCCCGGACCTGCCCAAACTTGGCGGCGTGGGGCGCGCGGGGAAGGCGTCCCGTTACCTGCGCGGCCATAAAGGACAGATCCATGGTGTCACTGTTGTCGCGGCTGCTGCCGCCGCCCGTGCTCGAATCGTCACTGCTGCTGCTGCTGCGCTGCTGCTGACGCCGCTGGTCCCCCGCTTGCACAGCTGGCCGGGAGGGAACCGAGCAGCTAGCAGGCGCCCTCGGACCCCGCAGCTACAGCGCGGACCTCAGCAGCCGCGGCGCGGCGGCACGTCCCCAGCTCCGTGGGCGCCCTAGGCTGGCTCAGCGCTCTCGGCTCCGCACAGAGACTGGGAGGAGGGCCCGGAGTGCGGGGGCGGGGTGGGGCGGGGTTGGGAGGGGGAAAACAGGGTGCCCCTCCACGTGACCACGTCCAGCCCCACCCCCGAGGGCGGGGCGGCGGAATCCCTGAGCTCTCACTATCATGTTTCTGTGTGGGCCGGATGGAGAAACTGAGGCCAGACGCGGCCCAGCTGATCGGTGCTGGAATTAGACTTGAACCCAAGTCCAGGGCTCATAGTGCTCCCTCCCCCTGCTATTGAGGCCAGCCGGTCGGGCGCAGCGGGCAGCGCTCTCCTGGGGTTGGCATGCCTGGTTCCTGGTCCTGAAGACCAGGACTGGGGTGGCCCAGCTCCGTGCCAAGGCTAAGCGCACAGAGTTGGGCATGCTGGGTGCTCTGGGGCTCCGCAGAAGGAAGTTTAAATGCCAGCTCTGCTCTTCGGTATGGCCTGGGCAAGGCAGCGTCTCTGTGAGCCTGGGAGTCCTCGTCTGCAACATGAAGACGGCAGAACCTGAGAGTTAAATGACAAAATGTATCTGACACGTGGTGTCTTCAAGGCACGGGAGCTGCAACATGGCTAATAAGGCCACAGAGACTGGGCCGGAATGGGGCCTTCCAGGATGGCACAGGGCGCAGCCCACTTGGCTGGGGACGCTTTGGCTATGAGCCTGTTCCCTTACCTCTCTCTCTGGGACCCCAAACCGGGCAGGTGCAGTAGCTAACGTGAGGGCAACAGCAGAGATGCCCAGAGGGGCCGTTCCCCTGGCGCGTGTGTGTGTCCTCAGAGGAGCTTCTCTAAGCGGCCCCTGCTAAGGGGTGGCTGGTGACGTGACAGGTGTCGGTGAGAATTACTGGGTCCTTCCCGGTGGTGTCCCTCCCCGGCCTTTCCCTCGTCACCAGGAACGATGCCTCACGGGGCCTGTGAGGGGAGGTGGCCCAGGACCGGGAGGCTTTGTCCAGGGCAGGTGAGCGGCGGCTCAGAGAGAGAGGGAGGGGGTTGCTCAAGGCCACCCCGCAGGGGGGAGCCAGCAGGGGCTGGGGGACTGGGACCAGTGCCTCCCTGACTGGTGGAGGCTGCGTTTGTGTTCCCCTCCAAATGCGTGGGTGGGCGCCCTACTCCCCAGTGGGACTAGTGGGCCAGGGGCCTGTGAGAAGTAGGCAATGAGGTCAGGAGGGCGGAGCTCCCAGGACGGGATCTGGGTCCTTGTAGGAAGCAACCCCGAACAGAAGATCCTAATGTTAATTTTGTCAAAGCTTATTAATATTTTTCTGTACAAGTAGCCCCTGTTTTTTAAGAAATCCTTTCCCAAATGGAGACCATAAAGATACTCTCCTGCAGTTTTTTATGTTTTATTTTTTGTATTTCAGCCCTTTTGTGACTGATATTTCTGGGATGGGTTAAGGAAGCCATTTAATTTTTCTCATGTTAATAATCGGTTATCGCGGCCCCTTTCATTGGCCATTCCTGCCCTCTCTGCTTGCCAGGTTTCCATCTGGGGGAGTGGGTCTGTTTCTCTGCTGTCTGTCCTGTTCCATTAGTCGCTCGTCCCTCCCTCCGTTAATTCCACTCTGATTCTGCTACCCTGATGGTTCACTTTATGTGTTGGCTTGCCTGGGCCACAGGACTCTGGAGAGCTGGTGAAACTTCATTTCTGAAGTTGCCCGTGAGGGTGCTTCTGGAGGAGACGAGCCTTGGAATCTGTGGACTGAGCAGAGCAGGTGGCCCTCCCAGTGCCAGGGGGCCTCGCACCACCCCCGGCAGGGCTGACTAGAACAGAACAAAAGAGGAGGGTTGGATTCTCTCTCTGCCTGGCCTCTTGAGCTGTCTTAGATTTTGATGAAATCAAAATTGTGATGTGTGAACAACGACTTCACTGTACTAGTCAGCAGGGGGCGGTAGATGCTGTTGAGTGAGCATGTGCACTGTGTGGTCGTCGCATTCAAAATGACTGAGTAGAGCAACGAATCTGCATCAAACTGTGTGATAAGCTTGGACATTCCTCCGCAGAAACTATTCAGGTGATCCAGAGGGCCACAGCTATGGGCAACTGGTGCCTGGCAGCTTCATCACGACAACGTGCCTGCTCATGCATCATGTCTCGTGAAGAATCTTTGGTGAAACCTCAGATCACCCAGGTGACTCTGCCCCTCTACAGCCCAGATTTGGCACCCCGTGACTTCTGGCTTTTCCCAAAACTAAAATCACCTCCGAAAGGGAGGAGATTTCAGACCATCGATGAGATTCAGGAAAATATGGCGGGGCAGCTGATGGTGATTAGGAGAACTGGGTGAGGTCCCAAGATGCCTCCTTTGAAGGGGACGGAGGCATCATTGTCCTCTGTGCAATGTTTCTTGTATGTTGTATCTTTTTCAATAAATGTTTCTGTTTTTCATAGTACATGCTGGATACTTTCTGGACAGACCTCGTGTGTGTGTGTGTGTGTGTGTGTGTGTGTGTGTGTGTGTGTGTGTGGTGTGTGTGGGGGTTGGTACTGTCTAAGGTTTCAGGCATCTACCTGGGGGTCTTGGAATGTATCCCTTGCGGATGAGCTACGGTATGTAGAAATATTATTTATTGTATTGTACCAATCTCGCACCCTGTGACCTAGAATTTCTTTCCTGGCCTTGCCGACGCGCTGACCAGAATTGCCGGGACTACGTTCAATGGGTGGTGTTTTCCTCGGCTCCCCAGGAGGACCCCGGGTGGCAGGCAGGACACTCCCTGGTGAAGGCGGAGAGACCTGCGCGAGGTGGCTCCGCTGAAAAGCCGAGCATTTGCTCCTGCAGCCCTCACCGCCCACGTGGTGACGGAGTGTCCCCAGGGCTTGAACCGTGACCCCGATGGCAGGCCTGTCCTTCCTCAGGGGTCCCCAGACCCCTCTGGGGAAAAGAGAGAGGGGACAGGGGGAGAGCTGAGGGTGCCTGGTGGTTTGCTGGGTTGGCTTTTGTGCTTTAAACCCAAACCTTCCTGAGCGACTCCCGGCTGCGTGTTCTTGGGCAAGCCCCTCCTTCTCTGAGCCCCAGCACCCCGGTCCCTACAAGAAGCGGCAAGGGTGGCCGAGCCCATCTCGAGTCCATATTGAAAGCCCGCCGCGTCCCGGCGGTGAGCAGACCCGTTTGGTCACAACGCCCTGGAAGAGAGGAAGAGAGCAAACCCGCTCCCCTGGTCGCTGCTTCAGAGTGAGAAGGACGGCCAGCCAGTGTCAGAAGCTGCCGACAAAAACTCGGCGTGACGTGTCTTTAAATCACTCTCCTGATGTGTAGTTTTCACATGTGAAACCACTCTACGCGTACAGGTTAAAGAGTCACGGCACATACGCGGACCGTGTAACCGGAACTGCGCTCAGGACAGAGAACACGCCGCGCGCCCCTGCACGGTGCCTCCGGTCCCTTTGCGCGTAACCCCGCCCCTCCGCCAGCCCCCAGGTCGCCCACCCCTGGGCAGGGGGGCGTCTCTCCCTGCCGCCTGGATTTGTCTTTCCCAGACGTTTCTGCAGACGCAGCCCTGTCGAACGTGCCCTTCTTCTCCCCGGCTTCTCTCGTTCAGCACTTTGTGTCCGAGAGTCGCCCGCGTTGTCGCGTGCACTGGCGGTTCCGTTTTCATTCCTGCGCAGCGCCGCGGTGCAGGGATTCTCCGCGGCTGGTCTGCCCACGCTCCTGTCGGTGGGCATTGGGCTTCGTTCCCGTCTAGTGAAGGACCTGTGAGTGTGAGTGTGTGTGTGCAAGTCTCTGTTCAGATGTTGCATGTTCATTTTCTGGGATAGTAACGTAGGAGTGGGTTTTGCACTGGGAAGAAATTGCCAGACTGTTTAGAAAGCGTCTGAACGTTTTTCATTCCCACCAACGGTGGGTGAGAACTCCGGTTGCTTTGTGTTCTCGCCAACACTTGGTGTTCTCATTGTTCTCATTCAGCGGTTCTAGTCGGTTTTCAGCCTGTGTCTCTGATGACTGACGGCTGAGCACATTTCCCGAGTGCTCATCATCGGCCCTTCGTGCATTTTCTCCTGCGAGGGGTCGGCTCCAATCTCTTGCCCGTTTTGAACAATGGATCACTTGTCGGTTTATTATTGAGTTGCGAGAGTTCTTTTTTTCTTAAAGTCAGATTCACTATCATTCTTTTTTTATTTTAAAGATTTTATTTATTTATTTTTAGAGAGGGGAAGGGAGGAAGAAAGAGGGAGAGAAACATCAATGTGTGGTTGCCTCTCACGTGGTCCCCACTGGGGACCTGGCCTGAAACCCAGGCTTATGCCCTGACTGGTAGTCGAACCTGTGACCCTTTGGTTCGAAGCCCACACTCAGTTCACCAAGCTATGCCAGCCAGGGGGTTGTGAGAGTTCTTCATGTGTTTTTGGTACCAGGTCTCGGTCAGATCTGTGTACTGCAAATATTTTCCCTCAGTCTGCATGCACCTGTTTTCATTTTCTTAATGGTGTTTTTCACAGAAAAGTTTTCAGTTTTGATACAATCCAACAGATTTTTTCCCTTTTATGACTCATGACTTTTGTGACCTAAGAAATATTTGCCTACCTCAAGAATATAAAAATTTTCTCCCTTTTTCCCTCCAGAAGGTTTATAGCTACAGCCTTTATGTTTATGTCTATGACCTATTTTTGGTTTTATATATGACATGAAGCTTGAGGTTCGTTTTTTTTTGTCTTTCCCAAAAGAATGTCTAATTGTGCCAGCACCATTTATCGTAATGACTTCTCCGCTCTTCTCTTAGTCCTGAATCACCCAGGACTAAGACCAGATTAAAGGAGACACACCATTTAAGGAGGCACGCGTTCTCAGGTGCCAACTCTGCACTTGTTCGACCTTGAGAGTGTGTGTTTCCTTAAATGCTGATGCCTGGGCACCTTGCCGGCCCCACCCACTGACCCCTAAGCACCTCACGGATCTGTGCATTATAAATGTCACTCTCTTCTCTCTAACCGAGCCTGGGGGACCTGCAGGTGTGCAGCGGTCCAGTGAGGGCTTAATGAGCCCTGT